TTTACGTCTCTTGGAAAGTGAGATCTGTTGCGGAGTCTGTGGAGTCACTTTGTAGCATCTGCTTGGGTTTGATGAATGAATGATTTGATTCAATGAATATCCAGGAAATTTCAAGAAGACACGTTCAAGGAGAAGAGGGATGTTCAGTTTTTGTAAATAAGATGCAAACGAGAGTTTTGCTTCCCTGTCCAATAGTCTGTAACTAGTCAGTTGGCATTTTCTAATAAATAACTCCCAGCGAAGGCCTCCTTCCTTTCAATAGTAGACGTACGCCTTAAACACCTCCAAGGTCCCCGTGATTTAATACTCTCCTGTTCTCAGCAAAACTGTCGTGTTCTTGTTGAGTGGTTCTGATGCAGTTGCTTTCTGGAGCTGAGCTCTGCAATCACTTACATCGAACGGCACGGCCACTTTGCACAACTCAGTACAGACACGAAAGTTGACAGACCGGGCATTCTTTGTGAATTTTGTTTTTGTTTTACGGTTATGCGATCGTGAGACAGCCAGGCTAGTGTTATTACTCAGATTAAGAACCAAAGAATCACTGACTGGCAGACAAACATATGCGGTAGTGTGCTTCAAAAATCCACGGCGGTTGCAGTTTTGGTGAGTCTGGATTGCTTGACAGATGTCATTGAACCAACTAACAATCACACACTGTTTACACTGACCAAACTCTATGGTTTGACTCTGTGAGCAAGCCGTCGATTTGTCGAAATTGAGGTAGCTCGGGTGTGTTTCCTGGTGGTTGATCAGATGACAGTCGATCTGTTCGCCACACTGACGATGTCTCCTCGACTGGAGACGAAACGTTTGCAAGCCAATTGCCAAGCCCGGTGAACAGACCAACTGCCATCTGATCAACCACCACTGTGAGCAAGCCATCTGATAAGTACACACGGTAACCGACCCTTCAACCGTTGTGTCGCCGTAGGGCAGACTTGCTGAATCCTAGTAATCAATTTTCTGATGAGGACGATCTCCTGTAACACTGTTACGCATGGTTTTTATCCCCTGAACTTATTGAAGTGGTCAGTGTCACTTGAAATTAGTTAATTCCCTCGTTGGAATGTAGCTTCTATGTGAATTTTTTGTTCTGTCGGAGGAACACGTGCCAAAGTTCCGTTCACGTCAACAGGACTGAAGCTAGAGGTGTGCATATATTGAGGATATGATATATCTTAGTTATACCGCTGGCCGGGGACGATGGTGGGATCAAAAAATATTCCCACTTGGATATCGTCTAGTGAAAACTGCCTGGTTGAAACTGATAACCATGGCGAATTGACCGTGACTGGTGAACTGAGTCCAGGCGCGCCAACCCCACTGCATGTGACTTATCTTTCCGCGTGTCAAAACAAAATCCTCGAGCTTATTTCTACCCCAAAAATAAAATTATTCTGGATAAAAAATAGTTCTGTTTGTTGGATTTTGAATGCCAAATAAAATAAAATGCAACAAAACGAGAGGGTTGAATTGTTCTCAGAAAACCGAGTGACAGAAACGAAAGGTAGTGAAATCATTTGGGTGGAAAATATTGCACCAAAAAAAGGAAAATGATCATTGCAAGGAGTCAGAAGCGTTCTAAAATTGACATCACGGGGTTTCGCTAAAATTAGGGTGTCGAGGATCAACCAGAAGCAGATAGACTTTCTTGCCATTTGTGAAAGAGACCAGAAATCGCTTCTTGTCCGCGGCGTCAACACAGATGTCTGCACTGTACACTCCGACAGGTAGATTGGTCACTAAGGCCAGTTGCTATTATGGGGAGGGGGTAATGCAGATCAGAGGATAGCTCAGTTGTGAGACTGGTATTCATAAATGACTGCATTCAAAGGTATGTTCGTGATCACACGCGTACAGATAGTCTAGCTCGGCCAGGATTTTGAAGTCCACAAAACAGACGTTTGTTTGCAGTGAAAACAAATGAATCTGGTTTTAAACTGAAAACAACAAAATAGTTTGTTATTGCGAATTCAGATTCTGTTTTATAGTCGCAAGCTACCAGGAGTGTCAGATTCCCCAAAGTAACCTCAGAACGCCCGAAACCTACTGAGACCCTAAAGCTCCACCAAAATCTCAATAGGGTAGCTGTTAAGCATCCAGGTTCGTCAATCATTCAAGCAATTCAGCAAAGCCTGCCGAGTGTTCAGGCACGCCACAGAAGCACGACCGAATTTGATCAGTATTCAAGTGGAAGCACGATCAATATAGATTGGTGTTCAGACAGCCTGGATCAATGTCAGAAAGTGCCCTTCAAATAGCGCGAGGCCATTGTAACTTTTGCACTAACACGCACTCACTCGCTTGTTCGGAGTACAGCTTTTGTGTTCCCTTCTGTGAGTCCTTTTTCCGGCACTAGGCAGTGGGTCAGCAGCAGATGGGCGAATCAGCAGACATCGCAAAAGCCAATCATTCTGAATAACGCAAGAAGATCCAGCTACTCAGGAAGCATGCGAGTAGCATGTAGTTGGTGTCGAAACTGCGCACCGCATCTGGTAGAAGTTGAAGTTTGTTACGAAAATTGTGGGAATAATTTGTCTTGTAATTATAATTATAATTTGTCTTGTGTAATTGTCAATGAATATCCAAAACGATTTACCAGGACGCGTGAGGGTTTATGTGCATCTGAGATGTTTATCCTCATGTCTAATGACTTGTAACCGCTTAGTCCGTGTTTGCCAGTAAATCGCTTCTCAGCGAAGGGCGTTCCTTCTTTCACCACTGCTGTTAACCACTACAATTGTCAGTTATTGTCCATGCTGAGGGTGGTGGGCACACGTGCTACTTGTGTAGCGGTGATACTACTGACGGGGTGGCATGCGAGTAGTATGTTTCCTTATTTTAAATTCGTTTTGCGTCTCTTGAAAAGAGAGATCTATTACGAAATTTGTGGAGTCGCTTCGTAGCATTTGGTTGAATTTGAGCAATGAGTGATCTGAGTCAACGAATATCCAGGAAATTTCAAGTAGGCTCGTTCAAAGAGAAGAGGGATGTTCAGTTTTTGTGTATAAGATGCAAATGAGAGTTTTGCTTCCCTCTCCAATAGTCTGTAAATGGTCAGTTGGCACTTTTTAATAAATAACTCCGCAGTGGAGGCCTTCTTAATTTCACCTGTACCTTTTCGACCTCAGTGCTGAAAGGAAGTAACGAAAGTAAGTGCTTTACTTCCAAGGATTTCCAGCGCCGTCTTTTCCTGAGTTCTGTGATAAAACGATATTTGAAAGTTTCAACCAACATTTCTTCGTTGAAATGAATCCAGTCTGTTTCTATAAGCCAAGAAGCACTTTGCGGCTGTTCCCTCCTTGTTTAAAGTCATCCGCAGTGAGTGAATCTTCGGGGAGATCAGAACCTACTGGCTCCGAAAAAGTCAGTCATGCGCCACTCCCAGATATCTAGAAACCCACAGGATAGTTTCGAACAGAGGTAGAATGCTTCGCAGGGTTAGTGAAAATTCCATGTAAAGAGTCGTTACTCAAGAAGCAAGTCAATACGTGGCCGCATGATGTAGTTTCTGTGGATGAGGGGCCCTCTATATGAATGCTAGTCAGATCATTGTTCAGACGCTGGTGGATGAACGCTTAAGTGTTCCAACCGCGGATTCCAGCCACTCTGAGTGAGACGCGCACTTCCGGTGATTCGCAATTAGCAGGAAACAGCTTCTCATCCTTTCAGCATCGATTAGCTTCCCTCACGGGATGAAATCTCAGTTGGAAACGCGTGTTAAGTTACTAGACCAATCCAGTTTTCAAAGGTTCTCAGTCATCTCAGGGCATATATATAATTTATTGCTCAAGTGTTACTTCAGTTAACCTTGATAATGCAAATTACTTCGTAAAGTTTCCATCCTTCTCTTTTGAAGAGTATTCATCACCATGTGCACCAATTACTAGTCTTAATTAGTAATGCTTTGAATTACGGACAGGGACACTAAGGTGCGCTTTTTGGGTGAGGAAAAATAGGAGGTAGACCTTATGTTGAAAACGTTGAAAATTGTTCGACAGCCCACGACCGATTTCGCCCTTCTTGGGGCCCATCAGGTATATGCAGTCTCCGAGTTCTACTTGGAACCGAATTGCACGACATTAGCGAAATACACCCACTAGCAAACAAGTAACGACCGAAACATGAGGCGACCTGGTGCAGCACATTCAGTTGCCTGAGAGCATCACAAACGAGAGATTCAGCTGGGTTCCAGGTGAGTCTCTCGCAAAAACTAAATTAGTTTGCAAATGAGTGGATATTCGCTATTCTACACTAAATCTTGTGCTCGTCCGCCTTGGATTGGTTGATTCAGTTTTGATTAAGCAGCCACTTGAAAGGGGGAAATTTGAACGAGATGGTTCTAAATCGGAATAAAGGAAAGCGGAAACCGGAAGCAGTATTTGCTAGATGCCAGTTGCAATGTTGCTCGAGGCAAATTTTAAAACCTTCCCAAAAGTTGAGGAAGTTCAGTTCGGCGTCACTGAGCAGTTTGTCAAAAATAGCGCCTTTGTAAGATTCCGCGAACTGGGCATCCTACCATACTGGTAACTTAGAATGGTCGAGAGCCGACTTTCGGGCGGGGATTATACAAAAGCACATATTGCTGATACAGCTGCTTCAACTTAGTGCGGAATTAGCGGCATTGTGCACGGAATTCGAAACCAATTAGCCCTTACTAACCTACCTACTTCGTGGATCAGTAAACTTGCTCTGGTGTTGACTAGCTATTCCAGCGGTAGAAAATAAAATTCGGAATTGAAACAAAAATCTTTTTATTACTACAAAAAATATGGGAACCCTCGTCCAGTAGGAACTCGTAGAGCAAGTCACGTGCCTTATTCTTAGAGGCTGTCATCTGAGGCACTGATCACGTGATTTGGAGTATAAAATTGACAGGCGAGTGAAATTATCCCTTCTCTAGGTGCTGATCAGTGCTACTTAACTGGTTTGTGTGTCTGCCAAAGTCCGACCAAATGAAGCCCACAGATGGAGCAAGATGAATAAACTAAAGAGACATCATTCAAGTTGGGGCTGAGGTGGGTGAAATGTACCTGATTTCCGACATTAGGAAAATGTACATAGGTTAGAATAATGGACAAAAATCATCAAGTTAATAGGGATCTACAAAACAATGTCCTCTGATTTCGCTGTGAGAAGCCTGCGTGGGCTTTTGTACGCACACATGGAATGTCTCTTAACGAGCATTAATCTGTATCGCAACAGCAGCAAACTGTGTTGTGGTTGGTTCATCAGACTGATCAATACCGTCATCTGATTGGTCGGTTTGGGGTTCAGAGTTACCGCGATGTTGATATCAAAATCTGTCCTGTGTTTATGACGTGGATGCATTTAAAATTACAACTCATCGAGGTGGCTGTAGTCGTACTGCGTCTCAATGGGAAGCACTAACGTCACAAGCGTTTTTGGGTTGGAAAAAACAACAGCATGTTCAGGGAACTCACGCGCATGGTGGCCGATTGAATGAGCTTTATCATATTGCAGTTTGTCCCACCGAAAACGAGAAATTCATTGTCTGGACTCGGTCGCACTACGTAAATCTATCAAGGTGTTGGGGATACGGGGAGATAAAGAGCGGATGATAGAATGGTCACCGCGAAATCACTTCCATCAGACGTCTTGAAAACTAATTTGACCAGTGAAAAATGGAAACTTCGAAGAAAATAAACATCGAAACATTGTCAACTGAGCAGTCACAGTCATCGCTAAATGCGATAAAGCGCAGATGACTCGCAAAATAGTGAGACCAACGTCAAGAGTGCAATTTGGGAGGACTAGAGCGGACGCGAACGTGTCTGGAATGGTGACCTAAACCGTTTCTATTTCCACAAAGCTGCATTCCGAATAACCCTCTAACCAAACGGCAAAAACGAACTTAAGCAAAGTCGACTACAACGACAAGTTTGCCCTCATTTTTTGTTAAAAAAAATGCTGATATCACCTGGATCCCTCATGATCTCAAGCCCTTTCCCAGCCCGCAAATGCAATTTATTCGGCCGAAACAAGAGAAAGTTATCTCACTGTAAAACTATTCGACAGGAACCAGGGAATTCGGAACAAAGTGCTCAGGTGACGGGTCTTTTGTTTTACAGGATATGCTTGACTCAAACTAAGTTGACTGTACCATGTGTTACCAGGTTGGCCACGTTAGCGTCCACCGAGACAAGTGATACTTTCCGTGCCTATTTTGAAGTGATAAGATGTTGAATGTGGACAGAGTGTGACACGACGGAAGGGAATGAAGTAAATTTCGAAAAGTTTGGGCGCTGTTGACGCCATTCGCCTGTCAGTGCGGGATCAACATGATCCCCGCTGTGCTTGGCCGGTGACACCACACAGTGAGGTGTCTAACCGATGTTCTGCAAGTAGTCAGTTCCAATCATGGTTGTCTGACTGAGTTTTGGAGGTGTAGGCTAGACATCGGTCACTTCTCCGTTTTATTTTTCTTCTCGTTAACGTAATGTTCTATTCAAACAAACTGACATGTTTGTACGCACCAGTGTTCTCCTGCGGGGTTGCAACTAATGACAGTGCTGACGAGGAGTTAATAACTAGAAATAGTCCCCACCATAAGTTTTTGCTCAGAAATCACCTAAAAAACTTGTTTCTGTTTGGTTCCTCAAAAATGTACAATGACCGTAGTCGTTACTTATACCGGTGTAACGGTGATACTGCTGGTGATGATGGGGAGACACGCGAGTAGTATGTGTTGTTCGTGGAACTTTGCTTTGCGTCTTTTGAAAAGGAGAGATCTATTGCGGAATTTGTGGAGTCGCTTTGTAACGTTTGCTTGGATTTGAGCGAGGAATGATTGGAGTCAATGAATATCCAGGAAAGTTCAAGAAGACGCGTTCAGCACAAGATGGATATCCAGTTTTTGTAAACGAGATGCGAATGAGAGTTTTGCTCCCCTGTTCAATAGTCTGTGACTGTTCAGTTAGCAATTTCTAATAACTCCGCAGCGAAGACATTCTTCCTTTTCCCAGAACTGATCACGGATTTACCTCGTCCCTACCAGTTTCCGTTATCATCATCACCAGCCATTTTGGTGGCACTTTCTAGCAATCAGCCAAAACTCAATAGGTCCTTTCGGGCAACGTAGTGTCAAGGTCACAAAGGCGTATGTCACAAGTTATGCGGCATCTCTTTGCTGTTTACACTGGGACTGATAGTGCAATATTTCAATGTTTGATGGTCTTGATCATAAGTCATAGCGGTCACAGAAGTCGTTTCATTTTAGTTTCCTAGTACGAGGGATGATTCCACAGGCCGTTGTACTTCGTTTGCACTTGCAAGTTGGGGCCATTCTGATGAACGCATACTCCGCCATGCTCTGCATAAACAAGCCCCAGTGGTCCTTGAGGTGGCCAGGGGCACATGATTTTGAAAATAATTTAAAACGAATTCCCTTGGGTGGACACGGACATACCATCCATGTAAACTTGGCAACAATTCATTTGCGGTCCCCATATTCGGTGTTTGTCTGCCAACGTTCACTGCTGTGATTTCTCGTTGTGACTGTCCTAGCATCGACCACACACATATACACCAGCAAGTTCATTTTTGCAGTCAAAGGAATAAATATCACTTAGCATCGACCACGCACACACACACACACACCAATAAGTTCATTTTTGCAGTCAAAGGAATAAAATATCACTTGGGTAGACTACCCTGTTTGTCCGCGTAACAAAACATTGAAATGTCCAATATGGAGGGCTCAAGTACAACGGCAAATACCATTTAGTATGGCTAAGGATTCTTTGCAAGCGCTTATCGAGCAAAACTTCACTTTTGATGTCGGGTATCTAACGCTTGAGGTACTCGACCAAGTGTCAGATTTCTGAATAATCGGTCTAACATGTTTTATATGCGTTGGATCAAAACGTCGCCCCTTTTTCCAGACGCATTATCTGACCTGGAGAAGTATATGGTTTCTTGACCCGCAGAAACCCAATGTACCCTGAAATATTCATAAGATTTGTACGGATGTTGGAGTAAATTGGAAGATCTCTTTTGAAGGACGTAACAGCGTACAGTGTCAGTTTAGTCGGCAAGTATCCAGAGGGATAACTTATTCGTGACTTGGTTTCAGCCACGTCAAGAGAATTCACTCTTGTTCACTGGTGGCAGCGACCATGCCTTTATTGTGCCTCGTTCAAACGGACATCAAACACTGCTGGATTGACCTTTTCTGACGAGACGGAGATGGAAGCAACACAAACGAAGAAAAACTGGCTACTCACAACAGACCTTCTCCATCACGACATATAAAACTGTTTGTGGCAAGGAGACATCGTGAATCGGCAAGCATATCCCAAATGGTCTGCAGTAGATTGCTTGTGATTGTCCAAGAAACACGATGTCCCGATGTTTTTATAGACACAGACCATGTTGTAAGTCCCCTCAAATCTTTGGATAATATTAAAATTCCTGGGGAAAACGTGTGCTCCGGGTTGCGGACCCCTCCATGACCAACCGATTTCTTCCTCTTTTGAGTGACTAAACATACTACTCAGGAGGATGCTGACAAGCCCTTCTAGTGGCTTCGTATTTAGGACATTCCTGGTAGGCGACGTGTACGGAGCCCAGCCGTCCCTAATAACCGAACATCACATCATTTGGACGGATGTGTCACGTGCAGGGCACGGACCAAGCGAAGGCATGCCCTGATTGGTCAGAATGCCAGCTAATCCGGGCCGAGCATCCTTCATTGGACGCTTCTCGCCCCCTCACGGTGATTCTAGCACGACCTTGTGGAACACTCTGTGATTACCCTATAAATACAGATGTTAAGATTCTACTCTAGTCCTCATAAAGGGCTCTCTAGAGCTACCGCGCCTTTTGATATACCATAGTGGGCGGAGCAGAAAGCAAAAGAACCGATACAGAGTTGCACTACCATCCAGCAAGTTACAACACGTAGTGTTCGAATTTCGGTCGACCTTATATTCTACTTGAACAACTAATTGTAAGTAGTGTATTGACTTAAACGTACTATGTATAACACAACTGACGTCCAGTCGCCCCTTCACGGAGCCCATCACATGGGCGTAGTCCCTAGTTTTGGCGAACCTTCTGTTCCAGTTAACAGTCAGGTTGTGCGTGAATGCTGAAATTAGCTCGGTGCTAAGAGAAACCTGAGTTGAATTCCAAAGAAAAAAAATTTGGGTTGCTGACACAACCACCTACCCATCGCTACGCTCCACTACGTTCCCCGTAAACAACGCACTGCTTATGTCATCTCGGTTGGAGATGAATCGTGTTTCCAGTCACATTGCACAGATTTGCAAACCAACCAGTGATAATCTACTCCTCCTGATCTATCGATATTCTTCTGGGTTGTTTGTTCTGTGGACATCTTATTCCTAAGGTCATCTGGTGCCCAAGCAAGTCCTTCATCCTCGAATCAGGCTTTACTTTCCTAACAGTATGAGCGCTCGTTGCGGGCTTTTGAAGGCATCTTTACTTTACAGCTAGGCCTCATTCTCAAGCATGCAACTGAGCTTTGCCCACCGAATGAACGGAAATAGAGGGATTGATTGTCCGACTCTGGGTCATTTCAGCCCACCTTCTAATCTGTTTTTTTTCTGTGGTTTTGTGCTGGCTTTGAGTGGACACAGCTGATTGATTACAACTTTTATTGTCAACTGGCGTGCGACGTCCTTTGGTCTCCTCCGGACTGTCGCTTATCGAACATTGCTGATATTCTCGACGCCTTACAGAGACATCCAAAAGTGAAATTCCACATAAATAAATTTGGACTCTATTCTAACAACAAACAGCTTACTTGCACCGGAGGTGAGTTAGCGTCTTGCAATATAGTACTCAACGGCTTGTCCATGTTTACCATTGTATTGCGATTTTCAGAGGCGCCAAACATGCGTGCCTGCCACACCTGTGAAGCAACATTATTGAACAGAACAGTCCAACAAACTGCGATCAGCTCACCTGAGACAAAACTTTGTCGTGTTTAAACGATCCGCTGATCAATAGGTTGCGAGTGGAATCCACACATAGTCCATCGGAACCGGCCACGCTTGTTCCTGCATACTGCCTATGGAAAAGACGTGAGATGCATTGTAATAAGGGCAAGCGTACCACAAGGAGCCACAAGTTCGGTCATCCCATCCTTGCACTGTCCCATCCCAGCTGGCTGAGAAGAATATATGAGCCAATGCCGCATCTTTGGCACCACGTGGGTGATAGACCAGAGATGTGACGCGATTGGTGTGCGAATTCTGTGCCACTGTGTTATCCGTTCGAATGCTTGACGGCAAGAGGCATAACAGGGATGTAACGGATGGTGAGTATCAAACTAACCTTGGGATCAAAAGTCTTCCGGCACTTCGGCGCAATATGTCGTAAACTCGGACGATGGTATCAGAGCCGCCGGTGACAAAACGCTTGCTGTCCGGAGAAACTCCTAGACAAAGTATCTGATTGTATTTGGTCACTCCGTCATCGTCTCCTTCACCATCAGGTTTCACTTCAGTCTCCCGCCAAGTTTTCCACAAGGACCCTTTGCCAGTCTCAGTAAACTGCCAGATTCGGATGAATCCCGATGCATCTTCAACGAACGCACTATCACGCGGGAAATATCGAATGACCTACAGACGGAAATTAGCCTGCGAAGTTCCGAGCGTCTAGGGATGAAGGCTAAATCAGTGCAAGGTAGGCCTTCATCTGCTTGAAGTTCCAGTCTTACACATTTTTTTCGCATGTTCGGGGTTGGTAAAAGCTGTGTTTCGATTGTTGGAGTTTTCAAAAATGACACGCACAAGAAACAAACCAACAGGCACCCATCGCATTGGCCAACTGCACAATAGTCTTTCTCTGGTGCCAATCTGACAGTTAGTGCTTCCGATTTTAGATCACTGAAATCGGAGGGAGAGAGAGGACCGGAATTTTTATCCGGCGTTGAAGCTTACAAGGTGTGAATAAATTTGCCGCTTCCTATACAAGTAGGCTCAATCTCTGATGATGAGTGCTTTTTCGCAGTTGTCATACTTGTTGGCGGTAGGGACTGTAAGACAGAAAAGAAAAGTGTGGATGGGGGATTCTCATTCGTGGGAGCACAAAGCTTTTTCTAAATGAAGATTCCATCCTGTGACTGAAGCCAATCTATTCTTGAACTACTGAACATCTGTTTGATCTTAATTTGGAATCATCAGCAGTGCACATCTAACGGAACTCCAGGGAGTCTCGAACCCAGGTTGTAGTCGGAACCACTGAGCGTTTGGCCATAAGCTGCTGGTCACAACTTTTACGGTCTGTGTATTGTACTCTTTTCCATCCGGGCCCATTAAAATGCCCCTTTAACCGTCATGGGATGAGTACTCACCATCTTCCTGGCAAAAATCTGCTCTCTCTTGTTAACTCTATCCAAGAATGCCTGCAAACCCCCTCAATTGCTGGACTGAAATTCCAGGAAGCTCTTCACGATAAGACAAGTAAGATAATTTAGGAGACGTTGGAAAAACAGCTCTTCAGTCTACTCAGTACTCGAAAAACATTTTCCCGTATAAACCTGACTACCCGCATTAATGTGGTCTCTACGATCAATACCACAATGTTTACTTGACGCACATATCTAAAGTCATTGTGTGACAATCGGCCTCATGCAATATTTTCGGATCTCTTAAAGCTACTGTACTCAGATTCTTCTTCGTCGGTTGAAACGTTTGAAAAAGAGGACAAAAGGGGGCACATTCTAGTTTCATTCTACTTTCACAATTTTTTCCGCGGTAACCACCTCAAGGGCCACGAAAGTCACTTAGCAGCAGGAACGGAGTAACGCTTAAAGTCATGATTGCCATGAACAAGATGCTTAAAGACGAGCTCCATTAACCCACGCATTACGCGTATCAAACCATCCTCTGCTGTTTTTCTTGCCTGGTTTAGTGACGAGAGCAGAAAGGTGCCTAGCCCAAACACTGTACTGTTTTTTTGTATTAAGAATGCCAAAAAGCACTTTCTTGAAGAAAGGGAAGAAAGGATTGTCGTTTCTTCTGCGGAGCCTTTCACTCTATTATGTGCATACCACACACACCTCGCGTCTTCAATTAACTGAACTTACCAAGCATCCTTTGCAGCCACAACGACTTTGTATGGTTAGATCAATTGGCTACAAGTCAAGCCGATCCGATAACAATAGGATTCTGACCTCAAAATGCTGCTACATAGCCTTCCTCTGATCTTGGTAACATCTGTGCGATCAACAATGTTATGTTGACTGGACCACATCTGATCGGGTCAAGTTTCTCATCAGCTTTGTAGAAGGGCTAGATGATGGAGTCTTTCCACACCGACAGCATCATACATTTTCCATTAACTGAGAAAAGATCACGATAAGAACTGGGGTTAACGTAGTTTTAGGTGTTAGATGATCAACGAGTGAAACCCAAAGAATCCAGGGATATTCTTTTTGTTTAAGTGGAGTGGTTATTGCAGAGGACTGTTACCCATGTCTTCAAGTGATACGGGGATTGACGAATCCTGGCGTGTGATGGACTGAGAAGTACGTCTGGGCTGTCAGTGACGCTCTTTGCAGTTTTGGTTCTTACTGAAGATCACTCATCTATATTCCGTAATTAATTGGTTGATGTGTGTGAAGACATGGCGCAGCAGAGGACTAGAAGTGATGTGTATGCTCTCCTTTGGACTTCTTCGGAGACCCGTAATCCCTCGAAATTTTCGCGTGATTTGCATAATCTGTTGTATTCTATTCGCCTGCCAAACGTTCCACAGCTTGTATGCGACACGCGAACGATATTTTAGTTCGTCATACAGCGAATTTATACTCGTGATCGTCCGGTGTTTCTGTGTATGCTCTCCTTTGGACTTCTTCGGAGACCCGTAATCCCTCGAAATTTTCGCGTGATTTGCATAATCTGTTGTATTCTATTCGCCTGCCAAACGTTCCACAGACTGTATGCGATACACGAACGATATTTTAGTTCGTCATACAGCGAATTTATACTCGTGATCGTCGCGGTGTTTCTGTGCTCTAGAAATGAAAGCCCGCAGAGAGCCTACAGATTTGCCTGAACACGGGCCAAAGTACGATCTTTCTCGTTCCCACGCTGCCTGTGCAGCTACAGCAAAACGCGAGGAATTTTCCTCTGATTTTCGCAGCTCGCCCACATGGCGCGTCGCATGATGACGCAAACTGGTAAAAGCATACACAAATAATTTTTTCTACATTCCGCCGAAGGACCTCTGGGGTTTTGACTCGGTGGAAATATCAGCAACACGCATACTCTACGGATTTCATCTACCTGACTAGCCATTTAGACTTGCACCACGTTGGCATTGCGGATAATTCGGAGGAAATAGGTGCATTTAAAAAAGCCTGAGTGCTTGAACGTTTCTTTCAACTTATTAACCGCAGTGCCCATTTCCTGTTACCATGCTACTTAATAATGTTGCGCGCGGAAAATGTGTGAGCTTTCAAAAGAAGTACAGAATTAATACCTTGAAATTGAGCATATTACAATTACGTTTAGGTTACTGGAGAAAAGGAGGACAATTTGGTGCACTCCATGTTCGTTTCAGGAGTGAAGAAAATAATTACTTACTGTGTTACGCTGGCGTCCGACGAAGCCATTAAGTTCCAGGAAACCGGCAAGCGTCAATCGAAGCACGAAACGTTTGACTAACATGTTGATACACGAGTTGTGTGCTGCTTTCCCATACTGGGGAGAAATATATATTGTGTATCGCCACTTAATAAACAGCGCCCCTTCTTATCCGATCAAGATATTACACAACATTCTTCATTGCCCTGCACCACTGTGGCTTTTTCCGGCGCCCAGCTGAATGAAATAATTCACATTGTTCTTCCTTATGAAAGACCACCATTAGTGTTGCATGATGGTATCACCCTGTGCATACGTTTGTCCGCGGAAGATCAGAATTTCAGGTGATCAAGGAAGCAGAGGGCCCCAAATAGCGCTCAGGGGGCCGTTGCCAGATATGGAAATTTACTTTTCCCAGAACATAGCACCAAAAATCTCCGGCTGGCACACGCTAGAAAATGGTCTTAGTTTGAACAGAATTGTCCAAGGCTTTCAGTCGAAAAGTAAACACTGTCTGAAAGGATGAAGAACCGTATTCAACAAAGCTGATCCTGTGTGTCCAGGCTTCTTGATAAGTGACCATGGGATCATGAATATTGCTGTTATCTGGGACCAAGAGAAAAATGGAGTGCGATGTGTTTCGAATGACTATGGGGAGAGTTTTCTGTGCGAGTCCGAACAGACGTAGCCTTGTGCCTGGAGTCGCGAACTTTCCTGGTGTGCCGAACCGACCCCCAGACGGACCCCCAATGGGCTCCAACTGGTATCCGTAAGAGGACTGTTTAGGTTGAACCAAATTTGTCTAAGAGGTTCGCAGTGAAAAAACGCAATTAATCGCATCACTGATCATTCAATGGCGTATGCTCTGAGTGTATGCGGTAACGGGGTGTGGGAAATCCGCCTGAAGAATTATCACAGTAGAAGAATGTGACACCTGCGATTAAACCACCGTCTTATTTCAGGATCAAACTGTCCACGATTATGAGTATTTCGCAATGCCCTCTGCTGTCCAATAACATCCCGTGCTTATGTCTGATAGAGCATCAGTCATGTTCATCACACCTCTGCTGTCCAATAACATCCCGTGCCTATGTCTAGTTGTTGTGCAGTTTCATGTTCATTCTGATAATACGTGGCTTATGTACCATGGGTGCGGCCTAACTCTGCTTGAATCTATCGACCGTATGCAATCTAAAGAACACACACTGGTCATGATACCCGAGAAGATTCTCCATTCAATCTTGGTTTTCAAAGTGACTCTCATTAGCTATTACTAAGCCATTTTTAATGGTTGCTGTTGCCAGTGATTCCATCTGTGTGTCACCATGGTTTTTCCAAGAGCGCTCTTGCGCGGTCCATATGCTCACCACCCCTGGTCTTTTGTTGGGTCCTATGCCACAAGCAGTGACCTGACTAGCTCTGTGTTATAGTGGAATTGCCAAACAGTAATGATGTTCCGGAAACGGCAAGTTGAAATTAACCCTTTTAAGACCCACCCACAAAGGGCTTAACGCTACTTGCGACCTCAGTAGACTATTGTGTTGGCGTGAGCTCTTTAGAACATTTGTACAACTGTGCTCAGGCGTCACAAAGCAGTTCGCTGTTTGATTGACGAAGAACACACGCGCGTCCATACTGTTAAAGGGGCAGTCAATCAGCTAATGCTGCCCTCCTTCGCCTTGAGCAACTCCTGCCTGGTAGCGTGCGACATGCTTAGACCCCCGGGCTGATCGGCGTGGACAAGCTGGCGCTTCAGTTGGGACACCGAAACCCCCTTGCGTCAAACTGGAGTTCACTCTCAGAATTGGCTTAGGTGTTGCATTTGGGTTTGGTCCAAGCCTTCTGGTTCCGACATGATCTAAGGGACGGTGTGATATCCTTCCATCTTCCAACGGCTAATCAGTACATCAATGGCTTGCTGGCCTCATAAATTCACGAACCTTGCCTCTAAGCCTACGTTGGAAGCAAACATCCTCATTACTCACTCTGCGCGTTTAAATGCGTCCAGCTTCATTGAAAACCAGGCAGTTTTACCCTGATATAGGGCTAAAGCCCTCATTTGCCCCATATTATATTGACCCAAATATTATTCCTCACGGCAGTGTCCTGGCACACTCACTCTTGCTCCCCAGATTATGCATTTTTCTTCTACATTTTGTTCTGAAAATTGTACGCCGAAATTTTACAGTGCACTCTGCACCATCCAAACATCCGCAAGAAATGCAACAAAAGGTGTGGTAGTGTTCGGTCTTTTATCGTTTCTTCTGCACTAATGATAGCTAAATCCAATCGTCAGTTTTACCATCCCGACTGAATTCGGCGAAATGATACACCATTTAGAGGTGGGTGACTTAGGGCCTCTGCGGTGAGATTCGCATTGCGAGCGATGTCAATAGCCAACAAATTTTGAGACCCAGCGCGGCGATTTTAGTGATTCCGTATTTGCTGTCTGCCTACTTGCACCAAGAACTACAAGATCTATGGTGTTTGTGCACTTCGAGAGTTCGTCCTAAAACCTTACGTAGGCTGTTGGATCCAGATTGTTGACCAATCAGATCTCGTCTTGATGCCGGACCGGCAAGCGTCCCGAATTCTGGGCCAACTTCGTGCGGGCCAGGCTTATCGGCCGCAGCGGCACCTAAAGACGTGCCGTATAGCGGGATCCGTGTGGATTCCTGCCTAACACCTCCCCTCTGAATTTTGTTGACGTAGCTTCGAGGCCGGGGGTTCACTTGCAGTGGTCGCGCTGGCTTGCGGATCCTCTCTGTCCAGCGTCGCGGTTGTAATCCGTGCTCAGGCCGGGCCTCTGACGAAGCAACTGATTGATTTTTCGGGGTGGTGCTGAGGTCAAAAATGTCCAGAAGCAGTTCTAGACCCATATCACTCGGTCCTGTAGACAGGATCTGCCCATCCGTCGGCCGGATCTAGTTCGCGTGGCGTATCCATTTGGCTGGACCAACTCGAATCTCGTAGAGCACTTTGCCGCGCCGGCGAAGGATGAGTCCTGGAGTCCACGTAGGGTGTGTGCCGCTGTAGTCACGAACCAACACTCTGGCC